ATTAATATATATATATATATTACATTAATTACTATATGTATAACATATGTATATATATATAATTATGTAATTGTATGATGTATAGTGGATTAAGCGTATTGCTCAATTAGTGTTTAAAGTTAAATAATATATATATATTTAATTATTATATAATATATAGTTAATTTAAATATATATAATATATTAATAATATTTATATAGTATATTATGTATAATATTATATATTATATATATAAATTAATATATATATATATTTATATATATTTATTAATTTAATTATTATTATTAATTATTAATATACTTGTCGTTATGTATGTTAGGTCATGCAATGTGCTAGTGATCACCATATCATATATACTATATATATATATTTATTCACTATATATATATATACTATATATATATACTATTATATACTACTCGTAATCATACTATATGATATAATATCTTAATTACCTATATTATGTATTATATATATATTAATATAAAATTAACATATATAATTATAATCGATATGCACACTCAACTCATCATATATAAGATAACTAATCCTAAGCCTAACTTACGTATTTAGCTGAATTAGAGACGGTAAAATCTTCAAATCTGCTCCACTCGACTAGCGCAATGTCCTTATCGCGCTGAAATAGCTTTTTGGCCTTGGCAGATTGGATGGCACTGCGGGCCGAACAATATATTTATAGAATCTATATGCTAGACAGCAGTATAAAGGTAAGGTGAAAAGTAACGCTAAAAGAAGTAGTATAATATGAAGTAATGATCAACGAATTAAAGTAATATGATATATAATGAGAGTGGCATGGACAATGAGGACTCGATAGGTGATGTACATAGCTCGTATGATATGAGTATCTCAATACTCGACCATGCGAGGTTTAGCAGTAGCCGTAGCTCAGCGGCTGAGCGGTCACCTATGCTACTCGCCTGTACACTCGCCTAACTGGAAGGTCTTCATATATTACTTATACCATCGCTCTTATTTCATCACCACGCTATACACGCGATATATATATTAATGTATATATTATGCATGTATATATATATAATATTATTTTAATTTTATATATGAATTATATTATTAGTTATATTATGAATTAATTATTGTATAAGAAAGATTACGATTAATTGTATAAGTATTATATACATTATAGTATTAAGATCTATAGTTATAACATCAACACACAGCTCAAACACACACACACTAAACCCTACACACACACACGCACACATACCACTCACTCAACTAACACACTACACCACATAGCTACCACACACAACACTACAATCGCGACTATCCACACACTCATATATATAATATATATGTAGTATATTATATATACATATATTAATATAATAATATATACATATAAATATATAAATTAATACTAAGCTAATAATTAATTATATTTATAATATATATATAAAGACTAGATCATCAATATGTCATCAATACATAACATTAATATGTAGATTAATGTTATAACATTTTAATACAATATAACACATATAATGTATATATATGTCAATATATAAATTGGTACCCATTAATAGTTCTATGAAATATACACACACACACACACACCACGCACGACAACACACACACATACATAAATACATACATTACATACATATATATATATATATAACTATATATATATACTAGAGACTCACATGACTATCAATACACTACACACCACACACCCACACTACACACACACACACATTTATTTATTCTCAACTACTTACTATCAATCATTTAAACACACTCTCAATTCTACAACTCATCACACATCATATAATATTTTATTTAATTTATAATATATTATTCATTAATTTTATACTAACACTATAACACACACACTATAATACACACACTAATATATACACTCAACTAACACTAACACATTCACTCAATATTAATATAATATATTAACTATATTAATATTAAATATTAATTATATATTATGATATAATGTTATTGTAGTTTGTATATTGTGATGTTTGATTTGATGTATGTAGTATGTTATTTGTTATAATTGAATTGCTCCACGCAGCCTGTGGTTAATATACACCACACGCGCTTCTAGAATGTATTCCCTCTGTGTTTGTTTCCTTGTTCCAGCAGAACAGGTTACCTTTTATATAGTACGTGGCTGAGGCCGGCTCCGATCCTCCTCAATGCTCTTTCAGCGCATTTTTTTTAAAGATCAGTCTCTGTTCCTCCTGTCTTCGCTCGCCCTAGTACCAGATATGGGGGGGTGGGTCTCCTGTGCGGAAGCCGCGCGAGGCCTGACGTAAGCACTTGAGTCTACGCTCCTGCTGTGGGCAGGGAGTATGGACAGCAGACGCAGCGTAGAGTACGTGCACGGAGGAGTACGCCGTAGTTTGTGATCACTGTGTGATCATGAATCGATAGATTTTTATCTAATGGTTGGTTTAAATGCCATCTCTTTCGCTTACCATATTGCACTCCGAGAGCAGAGCAGGTATACCTCTTCCAAACATCCTATTGCGTTTTTCTCACACTACTCGTCTTTCTCACGATGCAAGAAGCTCGTTATTTCCGTTCTTTCGGCTTTTCTCATATCTACTCGACACTGCCTCTCTCTCTCACTAGTTACTCTTGCTGTGTATCTACACTCGATCGCGGCATACTTTTTTAACTGCTCTATCCGTAGATATGCGCACATCACCACTAATTAACGCGGTACGCATTATTCACTTCTCTGCTCCATAGCATCAATTGGCCCTAGTCTTCCCATCTGCTCCTCTCACCATGAACGATATCACATCTCCTAATGTCACAGTGCAGTCGCTCGACTCCACGTGCCGCTCTACTGCACAGGTCACCGCTCACCATCTCTCTGCTCTCTGACTCTCTCTTCCCACCGTCACCATCGGTCTGTTTCACGCTCTGCGGCCCGAGTGCCGCAGCGTCGCCCCTTCCCCTTTCTGTCAACTGCGGCCTCTCCTCTCTCGCCTCGCCCTTGTGCCACTGGCGGCCCGCTGGGGGGGGGCGGAGGTTCCCTGCGACGGGAAATGACCACGCGCGCTCGGTAAGTTGCCAGTTCATACATACAAAAATTCACTCAATTGCTCGCTGAGCTGGATACTCACTTCCTTCCTGACGTGGACACATCCAATCTCACTTAGAAAGTGATTGCCTCAAGTGAAGCATGACACCAGGTTCTCCGGGAGAGAGGCGCGGAGAGAGCAGCAGAAGCGAGTGGTGTAGCTAAAGAACTGGGAGCCTGGGGGTTAGTTCCCTTAAGGGTTCCCCAGTACTTTTTTATCTATGTATAGACAGGCGTCTTTTAGAGCCTTACTCCGTTGGTGGCTTTTGGGGGAGTAAGACGCGCAAAATGTCATCATTCTTTCAAAAGGTCAAGTGATTTCTTGGAAATGGCAGGTTTAATGTGAATAATAAAATAATAATAATAATAAAAAATCGTTACTTCTATATTTTCTCAATGCGTGGTTCAGGGAAACGAACTGTAAACATGAATTAACATACGTGCCCTCACACAGGTATATTGAAACCGATAATACTAATAATATACTCGCAACTTATGATGCGTGAATCCAGGATAACATACTTGATTGATGTCATGTATGTCCTCTACTCTGCTACCGACTACTCTGACACTAAACTTTTATTCAAATTCCCGCATGCTATTAGTGAAAGATAGCTAACTGGCGTATAAACAATTAAGGACTACATTGTATCCTCCCTTTCACGGTTGACGAGAATATCGGTAATGTATACATATATACATAAACACAAACACACATACCCACACACACATAAATATAGCGTCACGCTCATATAAATTACGTCACGAGCACTTATATAGACTAGTAATAAATATCTTTGTGGATTCTAGTTAATGCATACCTTTTCTCCATTGTTGATGACTGTCATTGCTAACATTTTTTTTCCTTCTGTCAAAGGACTAAGTGCAAAAAGACGACGACCACTGTCACCGTCCTGTGCTTGGTTTCAGCGGCGCACTGCCCTTCCCAGCCGAGGTGGTGGAGGCCTCCCCGGGACGACGGCCCTGCGGGTTCAGTTCGGCGACGGGAGCAGCCATGACTTTCCCTCCTGCTGGCTCAGGGACAACTGCCAGTGCGATCTCTGCTACGACCACAAGTCCTTCACGAGGAAGCTTGTGCTCGACGACTGGGACCTGGACCCAGAGGACTACCCTGTCCATGTGTAGAGGTCAGTAGCCCGTATATATTACAAAACTACACCTGTGTGATTACATATATATATATATATATATATATATATATATATATATATATATATATATATATATATTTTATATATATGTATATATGTATATATGTATATGAATGTATGTACATATATATATATATATATATATATATATATATATATATATATATATATATTATATATATATATAACACACACACACATATGCATATATACATATGAATATACATAGAGAAAACACACACATACACACACACACACACACACACGCACACACATATCTATATAATCTACATATATGTATGCGTGTGTATGTTTGTCTGTGTGTGTGTTTGTGTTTATATATATATATTATATATATATATATATATATATATATATATATATATATATATATGGAATGAAAAGGAGAACCATTGTTGCGGTGATCTTTATTGTAAACGTTTCAGAGACAGTATTATATCTCCATCAACAGTACTAGAAATAATGAACAAAAACATAATCATATGCAGTAAACAAAGAAAAACATTTCATAAAAGGAGCAACAATAAAATAGTAATTTTGTGAACTCATCTGATATCAACTCTTTCTTTAAATGAGGATATCTCTGCCCTCAGAATTATGTTCAAATATTGTGTATATTTTTCACTGTCCTAGATGCAATGCTAGGTACATCTACACCTACACCACAGCCATCCACCCTTCCTCTCCAACCCTTGAGCCCTGACTCCACCCCCATGACCCGCCGGTCAATCATCCCTGCAGGTGCTGGCCCCTGACGTGCGGCTGAGGTGGAAGAGCGGCCACGAGAGCCTCTTCCACGGCCGCTGGCTCCACGACCGCGCCTTCTCCGAGTCGTCCCGCCGGACGCAGAGGGCCTTCGCCGCTCTGGACAAGGTAGGCCCCGTGGCCCTTCCTCCTCCTTGCCCGGGAATTGAGGCTCAGAGAAGTAGCATAAAGATCCGGATTCTTTTCGTTATTTACTCAGGATTATGTGTACGGTATAATTGAGATAATATACTATATAATCTTCTATTTCATGGTAATAGCAATTTCCATTTTTTCCGTAAGTAAGGCACATGGAGACTTGTATAATGCATAAGAGAAGTTCTATTATTGTAAATCCAAATGCACTAGACGATACAGCAAACGAGATGCTGTCTACAATTCTGTTTATTTTGCAGGAGCTGTGGGGACCAGGCTTTACCGTGGATGCCTTTGATTTTGAGGAGCTGATGGAGGATGAAGCGACACTCTTTAAGTGGCTGGTCAGCTTGGAGAAGAAGGGCATCACCTTGATCAAGAACACCCCCCAGGAGCCCAAAGCTTGCTTCAGTATCGTCAATAAAGTTGGCTTCGTGAAGCCCACGCACTATGGGTGAGCTTTTTCTGGTCTGTGAAGTGCAGTATTGCTTAACTCTCCCCAAAGAACTGATCTGATACGAAAGAAACAGCTTGTGGGAAAAACGCAGAAAGTTACAGCCTGTTTTTCCTTTTGAATAAAGGCTCTCTTTCGCCTTCTGTGGCGATGGAGAGAAGAGAAACCTTTCGGGTGTTCTTATTATTTCACTGTTGATTGCACTTTTTACTCCACAGTTCGTCACCATTGTTTTCATTAAAACGTTAAATTTAGAAAAAAAGTTAGAAAGTTGATGGAAAATCCATAGTCGCCATTGCACAAAGATATGATCAGAAAAGGTATGGAGGAAAACAAATAATTTCGCAGTCAAAGGATTATAATTACATTGCTCTTGGAAGAGGGATGGTTTTGCACCTAGACTACCGTCTGGCATAAGAAAAAGCAAGGTATATCGTTGAATCTAAGCTCATTAATTTTATGATCTTCTCTACCGATACCGGTTCTTAAGCTATAGATTAACGAAAGGGACAATTATTTCATTGCACAGCTATTGTTTTCTCATTTTCTGAACCAATCCGATTACTGTTATTCCAGGATGCACTACCCCATCAGGAACAAGGTCGGGGCAAACAGCTTGGCCTACACAGACTCCAGATTGGGCATGCACAATGACCTCCCTTACTACCATCATGTTCCAGGGGTAAGTGGGTTCACTGCTCGTTTTATCTCTTATTTAGTGATATGGTCTACTTTCGCTAGAATGATCACATGTGAATACTTAATAGAAAGGTAAAAATAAATATGTATATGGACACATACATATATGTGTGCATATATATATTTATACGAAGGGTGACTGATAAGTTTTAGTCTCCAGAAATTGGTATTCGATAGAAATCTTTCAAGGTTTTATTTTTCAAGATAATTTCCCTACTGTCTACACACCTCCTCCACCGGTGGCGGTGTGTCTGGAAGAGAAATCCCCGGCCGGCCCCGAGGTACGCGGCCGCCACTTCCATGACCTCATCGGTGTCGTCCAGCCGATCTGGCTGCACGACACCGACGATACCTGAACTCTTTCAGGTTCCGGAAAAGGAAGGAGTCGGAAGGTGCGAGGCTTGCCAGCTGATGAGGGATGGGCTGGACGCCAAACTCACGAATTTTTGCCCTCGCCGCTAGCAAGGTCGGAGATTTGACCCGATGGAGTCGACCCTCTGGTTAGCATTCTTGGCCTCTTTAATATTTTCCAGCAAGCGGATCAGCTGGTCGGCGCTAATGGCGTGGTCCCTTTGGACACAGTCCACCAGCAACGCGCCTCGTGCATCCTAGAAAACGGACGTAGTGTCCCATTCGGCCGATGCTGTGACCTCGGTCTTCTTCGGTTCGGGGAAGAGGCATGCGTCCACTGCTTGGTCTCAGGATATTTATGTAGGACTAAGAACTCCTTGGTAAAGAATCGAGCCAAAAATTTCTCAGGACCCGTTTTGTCTACCATTTGGCGATCTTCTATAACCATGCCGAGGGCAGGGTGGTCACGGTTGACGGCCTCCCTGACTTGGTGTAGTCTGGAAGACTTCTTGACATGCATGGATTATCTGACCCAGCGTCTGACGGGGGCTTACGAAGGAGCATCTTCCACTAGTTAACCACAGATCGGTACTCGAGTTATTCCATTTCCTCGACGACTGCCTAGAACGTTCGATTGGAGAACCAGTTAAAAGGAAACAAAAAGTGTTAGGATTCAGAAACCTACTTGTAGACTAAATTCATTTACCTATCTCACGGTTTTCTGGGTAAGGCTCAGAACTGATCAGTCAGCCATGGCATATCTATATCTGTATCTATCTACCTATTAATCTATCTTTATGTATCAATGTATCTATATGAATGCGTGTGTGTGTGCGTATGCGTGCGTGAGCGTGTGTGTGTGCGTGTGCGTGCGTGCGTGAGCGTGTGTGTGTGTTTATGTGAAAGAGAAATAAATGAGAAAGGATAGACAGAAGGGTGGGGAGTGACAGACAGAAAAACGGACTCACGTTCTTAAGCCAGGATCGCTAACCTGATAGAACCTGAAATTTTGTAGAACAATGAAAGAGAAAGAGAGAGAGAGAGAGAGAGAGAGAGAGAGAGAGAGAGAGAGAGAGAGAGAGAGAGAGAGAGAGAGAGAGAGAGGAGAGAGAGAGAGAGAGTGAAAATGAGAGTGAGAGTGAGAGTGAGAGTGAGAGTGAGAGTGAGAGTGAGAGTGAGAGTGAGAGTGAGAGTGGAGAGTGAGAGAGAGAGAGAGAGAGAGAGAGAGAGAGAGAGAGAGAGAGAGAGAGAGAGAGAGAGAGAGAGAGAGAGAGAGAGAGAGAGAGAGAGAGAGTGTGAGAGTGAGAGTGAGAGTGAGAGTGAGTGAGTGAGTGAGTGAGAGAGGAGAGAGAGAGAGAGAGAGAGAGAGAGAGAGAGAGAGAGAGAGAGAGAGAGATTTTTTGACATCTTGCGTAGGAATTGCGAAATTAATAATAGTCGTTTTCTCTACGTGTATTTTACATTATTTTCATTTGAGTAAAAGCAAAATACATAAAAAACGTCATTTGTTCTTGTTCCTGAAGCTCATTTTATAGTATATTTTTTAATTTATTCACTAATTAATTTACCGCATTAGTATTGTTTATTGCTGACTTCATCATCTGCACAAAATATCTGACAGTTCATTATCCAGGTCGTCGTCTATTCTAGTATTTGCCTCTCATCAACATTACTGAAAAGAGTGTTTATAAAGGGCTTATAGTTATTGTACATTTTGTTCCCTTTAGCCCAGAAACAGGGACCATGTGCTTACAGGGGCCTCCCATCAGACGCAAATGTGCAAGGTTTAAGCCAATCCTAATTTATATTGCAGCTGGATGTATATGAAATATACTTTTCCTTGCACATTCCACACTATTTAGATGACGTTAGGGATATAAGGTCTTTTAGAAATGCATTTTTAATGTATTTTGGTCATACAATACCTTTGACTTCATTAAGTCAAACCAAGTATCTAAAACCGAATTCAACTGGTTTTACACCAGTTGCCTGAGTCCTTTCTCTCCACAGTATCTAATGGGTATGAAGGTGACTGAAGTAACTGTGCAACTAATCTGACGTTTCTTTATGAGGTCTTAAAAGTAGTTCCTCGGAAAACTGATTTCACTTTCAAATCATGGATGCGGCTTGTGTATTTTTTCTTACCATCTGGCTGCATGAACCTGTTATCAAGGAAGTAGTTTCTGATCATTTTCATTAGATGAAAGACATCAGCCATGAAATAGATTTGCTTTTCAGGATGAAGACTCTAAGGTCGCTCAAAATGGCAACATCCGGAAAGCCAGCTGATTCGACACTTTTCATTTAATAAAAGAATCGCATCACGAGATATTAATTACTTCCATGACTAATTAATCCTCGTACCTTGCGCCCCCCCAAAAAAAAAAAAAAAAAATCTTCAGAGGTCCATACTGTCGATTTGTTATTTCCTCGTATGGTCACTGTGTGGATCTGCTTTCATCAATTTTATATTGCAAAGGTCTAGGACTGTCGTTTTGTTCATCATCGAATTTAGGATCTTGGCTAATCATTGTAGAGTCAAAATAGAAAGAAATTTCATATTAGCTCAATCTAAATACTTTGGGACTTAAAACATGCTGAATGCCTTCCTCATGCCATCATATTATCTATTCAAACAGGAAAGTCATCAGAGAAGATAGGAGAACTGTCCCGAGTTGATTCTTAACATTGCGAAGGGTTCAGTTGACAGTTGGAAGGTCGTCCACAAACTTATTACTTTTGGGTTTGGAGAACGTATTTCTTCTCGCTTTCCAAATGGTTCGCGGGGTTTTGGTTCACTTCCCATATTTCTGCCAGTTTCTCCGCCAGTTGTAATATTTTCAGATACAACAGTGTCCCTCTGTGAAAGCCTTTGCTGCCGTTGGCCAACTTGGTCAGATTTACTTTATCATTTACAGCTTTAAAGGCAACGCCAAGTGACCGTTTACATTAAATTGCACTGCGTAATGGTGTTGTCTTCAACCAAGACCGATGCACCTGGGACATGATAATAGCATACAAATATTGGGATTAAGCATTACTCAGAAAGGACACAAGGGCAACTATGTATTTGATTATTTCTTAATTTCTTAATAATCTTCGTAATTGTTGATTACCTTCTGTAGGCAGAGTTCCTTGTTGCAATTTCCAAAGCTACGGATGCGGGGACCCCAATTATTTGCATTTCACTCAATCGAGACTGGTTTACCTGTAGAATAATGGTGATATTTGTTGGAGTACTTTGATAGGCAGATATATGAACAGAGAGATAAATAGATAGACAGAGAGATATAGATGGATAAATAGAGATAGATAGGTAAATAAACTAAACTTAAGCACCACTGCTGGATTTCCGAAAACATTTTCAAATATTGCGGAATTTGTGATAGATTTTTTGTTTAAACGTACCCAAAGAGCAATATCCACAATTGAATGTGCTAAGAACGTTACTTGGTAGTATTACGTCTTGATTAATCATGCGTCGATCATCAGCTTCAGTACAAAAAAGAGAAAATCAAAGGCGTGGTGCCCCTTCTCGTTTTGCAGATCATCTTCCTGCACTGCCTGACCCAGTTCGCGGGCGCGGGCGGCGAGAACGACCTGGCCGACGGCTTCTACGTGGCGGAGCACCTCAAGCAGCACCACCCGCGCGAGCACCGCCTCCTCACCCACACGCCCGTCTACTTCTGGAACAAAGGCTCGGCGCTCGTGGCCCAGGAAACCACCCAGTTCCACAAGCTGCTCAACATCCCGCTCATTGTGTTAGTGTCTTTCTCATTTACTTTGTTTTATTTTTATTATTATTATTATTTTAGATTTTTATTGTTGCGTTATATTTTGGGGTATTTTCGTGGCTTTGGTTGGCAATAGAGTACGGCAAAGATTCTAAGGGAGTCTTCCCCTTAGAATCACAGGGTGATAATGGTTATCCTGCGTTAACGAAGGCAAGGGTGAGACAGCTGATGCCATTGGTAATTGCGTGGATAGTTATGATAGCATTCATAATGTGGATAGTGGTGATATTAATCAAAATGATGTCGATGAAGGTACTGATATTAAAGATAATGGAAATGCTACTTTATGATGATAATAAAGAACTGTTAACAAGATAATAATAATCTTGAATATGATTTCATAAACAATAGAAGAAATAATTATAGCTATTACAAAAGCAATACCAGTGGCAATTATCGACATGACATTCATAATGATAGTGTACATGAAATGGCGATAGAATAAAGGCGACCACAATAACATGAAAAAATATGACAAGCGGTGGCTCTGTAGACGGAACTGAACTTTTATTTCCTTTATGCTTTCTTATCTGGCCCTCCTCCCCTTCCCCTAACCCACTAGCCAGCCATGTTTCCCTCGACCTCCTTTAAACGCTCATAATCACCATTTCCGATCCGGTGTTTGTACCCTTGCGTAGGCCTATTGCTACGCAAACGCCTCTGGCGAGCCTTTGCCTCTTGTAGAAGGGATGCCGTTGAAGGGCTGGCCATGAACAGCTGTTCTTTTCACACTCGTCGCCTGGCTCGGTCTGAGAGTGACGATGCCCCCGGCAGCGTTTGGCTCCGCAGGCGGGTCTGACAAGCTCGCTCCTTGGTGCCTTTGCCGGGATTCGCCATTTCAGCTTATTTCGTGATTTTTCTCTTCTGTGCAAACATCCTCTTTACTCCTTTAACGAGAGTTCCACGAGTGTGAAATCTTCAATACACTTCCTTTAACCTCTGAGTTCTAAGATTACTGTATATCTTTATCATGGTTCTACGATTTTTCTCATGACTTAGATGGAACCAGCATAATCACTCCGAATTAGTAGGTCTGAATCTTCTTTTCTGTGGCATTTTCCCCCTTTTCTTTACCAGTAGTCTAAATTTGGGCAGTTTTTTTTCTTGTCTGAAGCGCTGTGTCATCGGAATCGCGATGATTTGTTGATTGCGATAACACTTAAATATTAACAAAAAGAGTAACAACAAAAATGACATCAGCAGATATGATTTTTCTATTTGTAATCTGAAATGGCCATGGTATAGTTAGTAACTATGTGAGTAGTCATGTCTCTTCTGAAGAACAGCGTTTACTGAACTCAGAAACGGACCCCGCTGACACTTGACCTCTGCCTTGGTTTCAGCGAAGACCCGTCCGGCCGGGTGGTGCGCGTCAACAACTCCCAGCTGAGGGACTCCCACCTGGACTTACCCCCTGAGACGGTCACCCCGTGGTACCGCGCCCTCCGCCTCTACAACGAAGTCATGGAACGGCTCTCTATCAGGCTGAAGCTCAACGATGGTGGGTTTTTGGTTGAGTCTCCGGCATGCTTTGAGGTCAAGAGTGATATGGCAAGATTCACTTGATCTTTCTTTACAATATCGGTCAGATATTCATGTTTGTAGCTTAGATGTGCTGTGCATTATCATTTTCCTATGAGCTCTTCATATATCATATATATAATAAAGAATGCCGTTTGGTAAATCATAAGTAAACAGAAAGCGGCCTTTAAGTTATGGGAGACAGAATGTCATTTTTAATTGCAACAAAGGACTGCAAGTCCACAGGTCAAACAAATGCAAACTGAAACATCTACCAAAATGTTAAAAAAGAAAGAAAAGGAAAACACACACATATAAATGCACATGTATACGTATCCGTATGTAATCATCTCCCAGAGCTGCCAAGTGCGGGTCGCCCTCGAGGCCGCCCATGTCACCCTGACTTCTTTCCACTCAAACTCCGTCTGCACCTCGAGCAGTCGTGTCGTTCGCTCCGCCCTTCGCCAGCATCCTCTTCTCCCGCAGGTGAGACGCTGGTCATGGACAACACTCGGCTGCTGCACGGGCGCACGGCCTACGAGGGGGGGAAGGGGGAGCGCTACATGGACCAGACCTACCTCGACTGGGACGAGGCCCTCTCCACGCGAAGGGTCCTGCAGGAGAGACTCCAGGCCCGCGCGGAGTAACGCCTGGGACACCTGAGGGACGGCAGTGGAGGGCGCTCCTGGAGGGACGAGTGTGCTGATTCAGTGAAGATGTTATAGGTGCAGTAGAGGCAACAAATACATGTTTGTTAGGTATTGGTCGTTTTCAATTATCCTGACTACCAGACTATTAAGAAATCCACCCCCACCCCCACCCCCCAAAAAAAAAGCGAGAGGACCGTTTCGAACGTCTTTTCGCCACCCGGCCAGCAGGACGCCACGGTTACAAATAACCCTTGGCATCAACGAATGTTTTCACTTATCACCTGACGTGTGCGTGCGTGCGTATATACATGTGTATACATATGTATATATACGTATACATATGTACACACACACATATAAATATGTATATATACGTATACATATGTATACACACACGCATGCATAGATACATGCATACATACATACACACACATATATATATGTGTGTGTGTGTGTGTGTTTTTATATATATATACATGTATGTGTATATGTATATATACATGTATGTGTATATGTATATACACGTGTACATATATGTATACATATGTATATATACAACACACACACACACACACACACACACACACACACACAACACACACACACACACACACATATATATATATATATATATATATATATATATATTATATATATATGTATGTATATATATAGATAGATAGATATGTATACATGGTACAGCGATGTGTGTAATGTGTGTGTGTATATATATATATATATATATATATATATATATATATATATATATATATATATATATATATATATATAGTATATATATAGGTGGTAAATAATATATATATATATATAGTATATATAATATATTATATATATGCAGCGACAGCCACGAATACTCGTTAGCACTTGTTGGAGGATCCTCCAGAAATGCAGGCTGTAAAGGAGTGCCAAGTTCTGTTACTGACCATAGATTGGTTGTGGTTACCCTCCGGGTCCACTTCAAAACTCCCCAGCTGTCCAATGACCACCCCAGGATAGGCTGGAAGAGGGAAAGTGTGCCCGGGGGTTTGCATCAGTAGGCAATCTGACGGACCCTGTCCTTCTGTGGGACACCATCAAGCGCGAAACACTTGATGCAGTTCAAATAATGGTTGGTGAACGCCCGTGAGCAAGACAGAATTTCATCTTGCAGGAGACACTAGATGCCACAAATGCTTGTCGTGCGACTCGTGTGACCGGGGATCGGGATTTGTACCGTTCTCAGGTGCGCAGAACTCGGTCACTGTTAAGAAGGGACAAGGAACAGTTTATTATGACTCTTGCAGAGGAGGTAGAAGGCCATTCCTTAATAAATGACCTTCGTCCTGCATACCAAGCCCTCTTCTCAGGTGACAGCGGTTCGCTTAGTAAATGGCCAGATCATCTCAGATCCTGTCGTGGTGTTGGAGCGTTGGGCTGAGTATTTTGAGCAGTTGTACCGGGTTGACCCACCAAAAGTTAACTTGGATGCGGCTTGTGCCGAGATTTCCGATGATCCTCCCTTCCTAGCTGAAGAGTGGCAAAGCAGCGGGTATTTGCGGCATCCCAGCTGAACTGTTAAAGTCTGGTGGGGAACCTATGGCATCGAGGTTGCATGCTGTCCTGGCTGCCATCTGGCGGTCCGGTACCGTTTCCCCTGACCTGTTGAGAGGTGTAGTCATCCCTCTCTGGAAGGGGAAGGGGGACCGATTGGACTGCAGCAATCACCTAGGCATCACACTGCTCAGTATACCAGGTAAGGTTCTTGTCCACATCCTTCTGAGACGTATCAGAGGCCAGAGCAATCTGGATTCACTCCACAATAGACCATATCCTTGCGCTTCGAGTCATTGTAGAGCGCCGTCGTGAGTTTGGGCATGGGCTGCTTGCAGCCTACATCGATCTCAAGAAGGCGTTCGATATGGTGCATCGGGAATTTCTCTGGGAGATCCTGAGACTGAGGAATTCCAACAAGGATTATTGGACTCATAGCAAGTCTGTATACGGGTACTGAAAGTGCGGTAAAATGTGGTGGGGGCCTGTCGAGCTTCTTTCCTGTTAGTTCAGGAGTGAGGCAAGACTGTGTCATTGCACCAGCACTTTTCAACACTTGCATGGACTGGATACTGAGCATAGCTACTGTTCAAAGTCATTGTGGAGCAACTCTGGGCAACATCAAGTTTACAGACCTTGACTTTGCTGACGATGTTGCTATTCTATCTGAGTCCTTGGAGTCCTTAGTGGTGGCTCTCTATGCATTTAGTAATGAAGCAAAGCCCTTGGGTCTAGAGGTCTCCTGGATCAAGACCAAGATCCAGGACTTTGGGGACTTGTTCAGTCGGCACATGCTTGCGGCGAGGACACTGAAGTCACAGAGAGCTTTACATACCTTGGTATTTATATTTGGAGATGCTGGTACCTGTGCAGAAGGACCAAGCTACGTGTCTTCAAGGCCCTGATAATCCCAGTTTTACTATACGGGAGTGAAACCTGGACATTAACCTATGCCTTGGAGTCACGTCTTGATGCCTTTTGCAATCGGTCCTTGCGCCGGACCATGGGGTACTGTTGGCGGGACCACGTGTCATACCACAGGACCTATTTCCTGCACAATCCGTGGTTGTCAACTCAGGCTATACGGCCACCTGTCTCGCTTCCCCCAGGATGATCATGCCCACCAGGGTGTCTCTGCTCGAGATAACCC